AAAGTACAATATACTTTCCAAGTCTTTCAGTCTAATAGTCAATCAATCAATCAATCAAAATCAGTTAATAAACGAAAATGATGTAATAAAAAAAAATTTGTTCAAGTTTTCTCTTTTCCAATGAATTTTATCACCATCCGAAATGAAATGTCCACTTGATAATATCGTCATCATTTTTTTTAATGGTGGGATGTTTAGTTATTCGTGATAAATTAATTAAAATGATTGGAAAATCATTTTTTTGTGGAAATAGAGATAGCGAAAAAAGTTTCTTGAAAAAGCACAATAAAATTTTTCTGAAAAAGTTTTTCTTTTTTTTTTGTTATTTGATTCACATTATGATGATTATTATTTCGATTGATCCGATTATCAATGTCAACGATCCATTCAATGATAAATAAATAAATAGTATCCAAGCAGCGGAAACTAAACAAACAAAAAAAAAACAGTAAAAAATATTCTGCTTCTTCGCTATAACTATAGTTTTTCACAGTTTGTTTCTGGTCGGTTGGTAGTGAATGCTTGTTCCAAAAAAAGTTTACTTTTTTTTGTTCTTCCTTTATCGTTCATTTTGTTTATTGAATTTGGTTGTTAATAATCATTATTTTTGTTTCCCTCGCGCGTTTGATTCGTTTGTTGCAGATGCAATTTTGTTCATTGAATCAACGATTAATGATTTGTAATTGGCAATTAATTTACTACCATTTCAATTCTATGATGAAAATGTGAAATGATTTTTGATGGAACCATTTCAAAATGTTGTACAATAAAAAATTTCTATGAAGCAAAAGGAATGTCAAACAATTTCATTTCATAATTTTTTTTTGTTGCATAACGATGCTTATGATTTAATTGCGATGTGTTTAGTGTTTGCCCATAATGTTTTACTATAGAAATTCCTGCAAAATTCAGTGTGTTTTTTTCTTCAAAAAGTGTGATGTGATTTGGACTGTTCCGATATTGGCTGTTATTTTATTTGTTCTTCTTCAATATGATATATCAATATAGGCAAGCATCACTATAGAATTCCTATTTTTTGTTTCAGAATTTTTTTTTACTTCAATTCTTCGTGTTTTTCCAATGCTGAATAATGATTGTAATTCGTGCGCTATATCAGCACAAATAAAAAAATAATTAAACACATCGCATCATAGGCGCAAAACACACACACACATTCTCTCATTTATGTAATTGAAGGGTGAACAAAAATTTGAATTGAATTAACTATTACCATAGATGTTTGTTCGTTGATTATGAACTGTAATTACATGATGATGATGATGGCCTAGGCCAAAATAGCAGACATTTTTTGTTTTAATAACACGCAATAATAATTCTCTATATGAGACTGACTGACAAAGATTAGGAAAGAAGAATAAAGGGAACAAGGCATCTATTGCAAAATGAATGAATGAATTTTTTCATAATTATCTTTTTTTTTATTGTTTGAATGTTTTTTTAAAAAAAATCAAAATTCAGAGATTTTATATGAAAATTATTGAATGGCAAGCACCAGCATTAAAGAATATCTTTTCAGGAATACAATTCTTTCATTCCTTTCATTTTCATTTTTTTCATTGAAAATGAATCGATTCCAAACCCAAAAAACTAAAAGTAAAGTAAATTGACTCTGCACCAGGAACCAGGAAAAAAACATCCAAAACCCAAAACTACAAAAAAAAAGGATATCAAATTTTCAATTGCCAAAAACAACTGTCACAATCATCATTATTGATAAAAGAAGAAGAAAATTTAAGGTAGTATACTATACTCGTATAACAATCCTAAATTGGCAATTAAATGAAAACGAACGAACGACATGACAAGACAAGAATTGGTCGTTGTCGTATAGAACAGAATTTAGTTTTTCGTTTAGTTTTATATGGCCGATATATACACAAGTTTGGTGATGATGATGATGATATAGTAATGGTAATTGACTACTACTTTTTGCAATAAAAAAAGATCTTTCTTTTTTTGTTCGATCTAATAAATAAAAAAGCTTTTCATATCAAATTACATAACAAAATGATGTGACCAATAGTCTCTATATTACAATTACAATTCAATTAAAGGTAAAAATGATTGGTTGGTTCAAAGAGAATCATCGAAATACGATGATGGTGGTGGTGGGGGGAGAAAAGAATCGATTTCCATTGATGCGTTCAATTAGTCTCTCTCTCTCTCTCTCTCTCTCTCTCTCTCTCTCTCTCTCTCTCTTCTTTCATTTTTTTTTCTTTTTTTTTTTTGATTTA